AAGACAACTGGGCAAAGGTAAGCATACAGGGTTCGGCGTAATTTCATTCTTACAATACTGGCTCCATCTCATGGACAAATCAGCACCCCGGACCCTGGCGCTAAGTTTCAAAGGCCCCGCATTTATATCACCGAGAATGTCAATCCTTTGTCCCTGGACGTATCATTTGCTTCCCTTCCCATTGATTGCTTTGACTGTTCTCAAGCAATGATCATTATTTACATACATAGGATGCTTGGCGATACACCAGATTTCCCACCTTGGATATCCTCAAGTGAGACAATTGCGACAATGGTCTCCATCAACTGCAGTAACAAGATGGACTCCAGTCAGTAGACGCCCAATCATCAGTCCACAATGCTCACTAGATGTCTCAATGATCCAAAGAATCAATTGGATGATTGGCAATCGAGTATACTCTACTTACTATTTATAATCGGCTAGTGACTGGGTAATATTATTACAGGGGCTGCTTACTACCCTGGACACACTCCAGTCTAGTCCTCCCAAGTGCTTGCCTTGGTGCCTGCTCCAGCGTCTCCTTTCCCATCTTCTTCTTCCCTGTCATCCCCGTGCTTTCTTCTTCCTTTCTTTCTTCATCTTCTCGTCATCCTTTCTTTCCCTCCTTGGTTCTATTTTCCCTCTTGGGACTCCAACCGTTCAACGGCTCATTGTGTAACCGCCGTCAGTCATTCGTTGTCCATATTTCTGTCGTTTTCTTCCTAAGACCCTGTGGGTTTGATATCAACTGGGTTTACGGACCGAGACGATCAACCCACTCTTCGCAGATCATCAATATCATCTTTCATCTACAATTGAGTTCGCTCTCGTTTAAATCACTTACAACATGAAGTTCGTTTACGCCGCCGCCGGGGCTTCCCTCGTGGGCAGCGCCCTCGCAACACTGCCCGTCATCGAACCTAAGGTACTGAAGGCCTGTTGCTGGACGATCGCATTGGACGCTAACTCATATGTACTTGATATAGGGCAACAAGTTTTTCTACTCCAACAACGGAACAGAATTGTAAGTTTGTCTGTCGCTTCCCAACGTCATCGTTCAGTGACTGACCGGCTTCAGCTTCATTCGCGGTGTCGCCTACCAACGTATGTCCCAGAGAGATCCCATCAATCGGCCCCCGAAACTAATCCAATGCAGAGGAGTACCAGGCCAACGGCACAGTTTCCCAGAACTCCGACTACACCGATCCTCTGGCCAATGTTGACAGCTGCAAGCGTGACATTCCCTACCTGAAGCAGCTGCGCACCAACGTCATCCGTACCTATGCTGTCGATCCCACCAAGAACCATGACGAATGTATGAAGCTCCTGGACGATGCCGGCATCTACCTGATTACGGATCTGTCCGCGCCATCCGAGTCCATCAACCGTGCAGACCCTGCCTGGAACACCGACCTGTACAAGCGCTATACCAGCGTCATTGACGCCTTTGCCAACTACAGCAATGTCATTGGCTTTTTCGCGGGTAACGAGGTCGCCAATGACAACAACAACACCAATTCGATCGCCTACGTGAAGGCGGCCGTGCGAGACATGAAGTCGTACATCAAGTCCAAGAACTACCGCTCCTCCCTGGTTGTCGGATACGCCACCGACGACGACGCCAATATCCGTGCCGACTTGGCCGACTACCTTGTCTGCGGTGATAAGGAGAGCTCTATCGACATGTTCGGCTACAACATTTACGAGTGGTGCGGTGATTCCTCCTTCGAGAAGTCTGGTTACAAGGAGCGCACTGAGGAATTTTCCAAATACCCTGTGCCTGCTTTCTTCTCCGAGTACGGCTGCATTGACCCCAAGCCCCGCAAGTTCACCGATGTCACCGCTCTGTTCGGTCCCCAGATGAACGACGTCTGGAGCGGTGGTATCGTCTACATGTACTTCCAGGAGGCCAACGACTACGGTCTGGTTTCGGTCAACGGCGACAGTGTCAAGACCAAGGAAGATTTCTCCTACCTGTCCTCTGAGATGCAGAAGGTGACGGCCACCGGTGTGAACAGTGCAAGCTACACTCCCGCCAACACTGCCGTCCCTACCTGCCCTTCGGTCGGTACCAAGTGGGAAGCCTCCAACAAGCTGCCTCCTACTCCCAACAGTGAGCTGTGCGACTGCATGGTCGAGACTCTGTCCTGCGCTGTGAAGGATTCTGTGGACGAGAAGGACTACGGCGACCTGTTCGACTACCTCTGCGCCGCCGGTGTGTGCGGTGGAATCAACTCCAACTCCACCAGCGGTGACTACGGAGCTTACAGCGTCTGCAGTCCTAAGCAGAAGCTCTCCTTCGTCATGAACCAGTACTACAAGAAGAACAACAAGGCCGCGACCGCCTGTGACTTTGAAGGCAAGGCCCAGACCAAGAAGGCTGCTGATGCCTCGGGCTCTTGCTCCTCGCTGATCAGCCAGGCCGGAACTGCTGGCACTGGTTCCGTGACCGCCGGTGCCACTGGCGGCTCCGGCTCCGGCAGCGCCAGTGAGACTTCCAAGGGAGCCGCCGGTGTTGCCGCTAGCCCCATGGCTGTCAAGGTTGGCAACTGGCAGTTTGGAGCCTACATTGCCACTGCTCTCTTTGCCGGTGTCGGTATGCTTGTGCTGTAGGTGACAGATTTGAGACGGATGCAGTGGAGGGGTTGTCTTTGTGTGGTTTTAGATTTTGTTTGAGTACATACTTTTTAGCAAGTAGTGTGGTGCTTCCATTCCTTTCGGCAGGAACTTTGCTTTTATACCTGACCACCTGGCGGTCTCGTGGACATTAGTTGAATGAATGATTTAGTTAATACACCGCGTTTATAGGTTATGGACCGGCCATGGTAGATATACTCTAAGCTGCTGCCAAGGTAGAAATTGGAGAGTAGAAGGCCAATGGACTGCCCAGCAGCTAATATATTTATATGGAACGGGCTGAGAATGAGAAGCAACTAACCACTTACAACTGTTCCCAACTTTGTAGTGCAAGCGAAGGTCATACAATCAGCGAACGGAGGTTGTGCTGGTAACCGAGTCTCGGTGCCAGTCACCGAAGTATAACTGCAGCAGAGTGGATCTCGCAGACTCATCCTCGGCCTCACACTCGGCATGCCGAACACTTCCCGGAAAAGAATCCGTCAGTGTACATATTTATCTCACGTATTCCCCTACAGCATGGCTGAATAGCTGAATCTATGAATCTCGATAATGGTATTGACAAATGGGTCCGTTATCCCGACAAACCAACAGAGAACTAAATGATGACAAGCCCAAGCACAACCCCAATGCCAGATCTCGACCCCGAAAAGAGCACACAAGATACATGCCATCTCCCACTCTGGCGCAAATGCATCATCCTCTTCGTCGTCAGCTGGATGACGTTTGTGGTGACCTTTTCCAGCACGTCTCTCCTCCCCGCAACCCCCGAAATCGCAGCCGAGTTCGACACAACCCCCGAACTACTGAATGTCACCAACGCCGGGGTGTTGTTGGCCATGGGCTTCTCGTCGCTTATTTGGGGACCCGTCACTGCGCTTCTCGGGCGGAGGGTTGCGTATAATATTGCGATTGGGGCGCTTTGTGGGTGTTCGGTGGGCACGGCGGTTGCCGGGGGGAGTAGTGTGTTTACGGTGTTTAGGGTGTTGGGTGGGTTGACGGGGACGTCGTTTATGGTGCAGGGGCAGACTATCCTGGCGGATATTTTTGAGGCGGTATGTATGATCTTTCTGGTTGTGTGTGATAGAGCTGATTGTGGTGATAGAAGGTTAGGGGGACGGCGGTTGGGTTCTTCATGGCTGGGACGGTGACGGGGCCGGCGATTGGTAGGTATACCTCTCTGAGATTCTCTCTGATTGAAGGTGTTGACGACGGGTAGGACCGTGTATCGGCGGCTTGGTGGTGACCTTTGCCCGCTGGCGGGTCATCTTCTGGGTGCAGGTTGCCATGGCCGGGTTGGGGCTCGCGCTTTCGCTGCTTTTCGTCCCGGAGGTGAAGAAGAGAGAAGCCGAGGGCGAAGGTGTCCCACGCCCTTCTTCCCTGCGAGAGGTCCTCGCCATGTTCAACCCCGTCCGGATCTTCCGGCAGTGGTTGTATCCCAACGTCTTTCTATGTGTATGTACCTGCCAACCAGAAATCGACAAGAAGGACGAGGCTGACTGAGACAGGACCTAACGTGTGGCCTCCTCGCCATCTTTCACTACGGCCTCCTCACCTCCGCCCGCGAGATCTTCAACCCCCGCTTCAACCTCACCTCCGCCCTCGTCAGCGGCCTCTTCTACCTCGCCCCCGGCGCGGGATTCCTCCTGGGGAGTATTCTCGGCGGGAGACTATCCGACCGCACCGTGAAACGGTACATTGCTCGCCGTGGGGGCCTGCGTCTCCCGCAGGATAGACTGAACAGCGGGCTGGCGACGCTGTGCGGGGTGCTGCCCGTCGCGGTGCTGGTTTATGGGTGGACACTTGAGAAGAGAGCGGGGGGCATGGCGGTGCCTATCATCGCGGCGTTCTGGGCTGGAGTGGGGCTGATGGGCTCGTTTAACGGGTTGAATACGTATGCTGCTGGTGAGTTTTCCTTGGGGAAGGTGATGGTGATGCGGATGTTGACATGTGGTAGAGGCAATCCCCGAACGACGGTCCGAGGTTATCAGTGGGAAGTATATCGTGCAGTACTTATGTTCCGCGGGCAGCAGTGCGGCCGTTGTGCCGCTAATCAAGGTGATCGGGGTGGGTTGGACGTTTACAATCTGTGAGTGACAATTCCTTTGAGGTTGTGCTTCCGGAGGTGAACTGACTGATTGAAGGTGTGGTCTTGTCGCTGCTCGGCGGAGGGTTTGTGTTTTGTATCACGCGATGGGGGAGAGCTATGCAGCTGTGGGCTGAGGAGAAGTTTCTTTTAGATGGGAAGAGTGGGCTATAGATTGCATTGATGTGCGCTGATTGACGAGTGACGACCATAGACGACAGACGATAGAGTATATACCCATATATCATATTTTGTTGCGTTGCCAACGTGTGTACAGTTATAGGCCATGACTGGTATACATGCTCTCCGTGTCGTTCATAAACGTGTCCACCGAATGCAACAGTCCCAAGTCGAAATCCGACTGCGCGAGAAAGTCCTGCATTGTCGGCTCCAGAAATGTCATTGCGGTTGGCAACCCCACTGCAGCTTCGTGAATCGAAATCCGAGGCGCTAGACTGCCATACCCGTTGTATCCTGGACTACTGTTCAGCTCATTGTCTGCTCTGATAATCGACCCAGGTCCCGGTTGCAATGGAGCCATTTCATCAGTATGAGGTTGCGTGGGAACGACAGACGAGGCCGGAATGTTTCCTGGCCCGAGAGCTTCTGCTCCATTTACCCTCGCTTCCTTTCTGCGACGTTCGTCCCCGTACCGTTCGAGACAGTATTTGACCTGCTCGAGATTCTGGTAGAATTCCGAGGCCGCAAGATTGCCGTTCTCGCTCATCGACTGCAGCACAGTCAGACCGGTCTCAAAGGCGCCTATGTCGTTGCGGCTGCCGATGGGCAGCAAGCTGGACATTGCAAGCACCAAAGAAGCCGAGAAGAGGTAGTGCGCGTGAAAATAGCCAAATACCGGAATGGAGCCGTTGATGTAGCGTGTGAGTATCAGGGAGTGACTGTGACGGGCTGCATGTATGCACGCTTCACCCAGCGTCCAGACGGGTTGCGAGATGGCATGGTCCTTGCTCGTGGGGTTGGTCTCGGACTCGCTGACTTTGATGAGGAGATGGAGGAGGGTCGGACGGGTTGTAAGTACAACACACTGTCCAAGTCAGTATTGTTTCCGACGAGGAGGAAGCCAAATACCTGGTTGAAAGCCAGATGCAGAGAGCTGACATGTTTCGTGTTCATCTCAGGGTCGTTTTCGTTCAGTCGCAAATGGTCGGGTAGTGTATCTACCCAGTTTTTCAATGCTTTCAGTAGCTTCTGCACGCGCTGGAGGAACGTCTCGCTGTATTTGCGTCGGCTGTAGAGTTTTGCAATAGTTTCGCCGACAATCCGAGCGAGCTCTATATTGGCAGTCTGATAGTCTGGGTCCGAGAATTGTTCATCGTGCACCTGCGCTGGGCTGATCCTGGACGGCATGTCCACGTGGATATCATCGTCAAGGATCTGGGACGGCATTCCCATCTTTGATCCCCACATGCGATCAAAGATGTAGATCGTCCACCAAATCCGCACTCGATGTTGGCGCTCCACAGGGTCGATGAGCTGTGACTCGGGAATGTTATGATTCAGCCCAATCTGCAGACTCAAGCGCATCGCGCTGCCGATCAACACATACGCCGAGTGGCGTCGATTAAGATAGTAGGAGAACAATGACTTGATGATCAGTTATCTTCTTGAAGCGTTGGGGAATCAGGAACAAACCAGCAACAAGAGCGTCTCCAGATGGGTAATGCTTGTTCTCTCTGGCAATACCTGAACCAAACTTAGGGCGCGCGCAAAATACGAGGTCCCTGGCACCCTCGACCCGGAAAGAGGCTCTGTGCGGATGGAATAAGCTTCTCCAAATGCGAAAAGAGCAAAGAATTTGCACTGGTTGACCTTGCAGTCAAAGTCACCGGTCCGATATATTTCCTCAAGCTTCTCCAATGTCGATTTACGCAGTAGCAGATGATAAAGACATCCAATCTGGCGCAGCACAATCTTCACCAGGAGTCGAGCTTGCTGAAGGCTCGGCCACTGTACATATGCTTCGTTGGCCGCTGCGATATTCGCTTCCTTGACATATTGCATCCGGGGAATATGAGGTGTCGTGTTACTGCCGGTCAGAAAACGACGGAAACGAGTAGCAAAAGCCGTGCAGGCTGCCTCGCCGATGAAGATAGGCGGCGCGGATGGATCGTACGGATGGAACCATGCACGGTCACCGATCAGTGGGTTACGGACACTAGTGTTGCTTTCGTCTGGCTGCTCTGTGAGTCGTGATTCACCTGCTTCGGCGTCATGGGTCGGTTCGGCCAAGTTTGCCGAGGGGGTCGATTGTTCCTTTAGGCGTCGATTTTCCGAAATCAGACTTTCCAAATAGCTGCACACATAGTTAGCAACAAGCCTGTTCGTTCGAGAGTCATGAAAACTGTAATCAATTAAAGGAATGTCCCCCGAGTACCTTTCGCTCACTTTGACCTGGCGATCGCGTTGGGTATATGTGCACTCATCCGCACAACCCACCATGCGGCACTTGGCGCATGGCTGCTCTCCAGAGCACTTGATCTTATGCGCATGACACCGCTGACAACTAAGTGGTCATATCAAGTGTGAGTTAGATGCCATACTTTGACCAAGAGAGATAGTGTGACGCACGCAATGAACTTCCGGCGCTTGGAGGATTCATCTGTCTCCGCGCTCTGAGTGTTCTTCCGCCGGTTCATCTGTCATGACCTTTCGATCACTTCGATTGAAATCATAAATCCTCGTGACAACCCGACAGACAACGTACAGCGCTTTCTTCGAAGTTCTTAGCAGATCCTGAACTTGCTTGAGCCGCTCGGGGGTGTTGTGTCCAAAGTGCCAAGGACTCGGCTGCACTCGCCGAACTAGACCTATCGATTGTATCCAATCAGGACACAGTCACCGACGCACACGATATCAAGGCAACATACATGTACGGAGTAATGTACTTTCAAGTGCGATGTAAAAGAATTCGTATGACTGATATTGCTGCACTTTCTTCCAAAAATAATCAATACAGCGGCTATTACAGAATGATAAGGCCCTTGAGACTATCTTGAAGGGAAACCACGAAAGAATATGAAGTATAACGTAAAGCGAAGCCGGTCACTTCTCATGAATTGAAGCAGATTTGATGCTGGAGGGCTGCGACATAGCACTCGAGGACTTCTGTGTACAATCGAGTTCCAATAGTTCGGTATAGGATAAATTATAGCAAAACGCTTATAGCAATTATTCTCATGTTCGACCTCAAGTCTTATTGGAAAGTTCTCTGGGTCTCATGGCAGAAGGTGCGTTGAAACGATTCTCAAATCGCATTGGGATTCACAGTCCAGCATGCATTATTGATAGCCACGATGGTCGAACACCTACCTCTCCCTGTTCTTGTGTGTTTCACGCGCACCGCTGATTCAATGAGTTCAGCGGCGTTTCTCTGAGTATATTGCGCCCACCAACAGTTCTCTAAGATAGTCTATCTTCGTGACTTGAGTAATGCAACAAAGGATGTTAACCGCAGACAATACCGTCGCGAATCCGTCTTTTCGAGGCTGACGGATTGCAAACTCTAATGCCGAGAAAGATCATCCTGTATTCGGTCTTCAGATGCTTCAGTTAGTGTATACTGTCAGGGTCCTTCACTTCTTTGGAAGTAGATATATTCTCAAGGAAGCTTTGGCTGTAGGACGCGTCATTTGAATCCTTACTAACCCAATGACGGAAGCTATCAGTCTGTAACATCCAACGAGGCCTGTAGGACGGCCCATGGACTGCTTAGAAAGACGAGATAGCATTATGATCATGATTGGAACGGATCTGGGTTAGGTGCATGTCTTGGTTTTGCACGTTTAGCTTGAAATTACGCCTGGAATGGACGACGGAACAGACGGGTCAGATGGCATTCCAGAGACGCGTGTCTTCACTTCTGGGGATCAGCCAGCCACGTTAGTCAGTGTAAGCGGATAATCAGTTGTCTTCTCGTTATAGCCACGCCCTTGACAAAGGATGAAGCGGTCGACACGACGATTTCCAGACCACCATCCATCGAGAACGGGTGCTGAGAGCCAGCCAACCTATCCCGCATAAGAAAAGAGCATATCTTTCTAAAGACAATCAATTTTGTATCACCGGATAGTTTGATGGGGGAGGGGAAAAAGGAGAAGATGAGAAATGTTGAGAGCGAGAGAAACTAGCCTGGTTGATACAGCAAGTAGGACAAGGCTTCGAAGAAGCCAGAAGGAGAATCGAACCAGCACAGCGAAATGATCAGTAGAGCAGACAGGCGAATCCCTCGATTTGAGACTAGGAGAGAGCAGAGCGCACAGATTCCTTCTGTAAGGTCACCCTATCAGTCACGGCTACTCCGTGGTGAATACTTTTGTCATGCACTTTCTTTCTCTTTGAATGTGGTCCTCTTCTAAATCGTAAGCATCCCAGAGAATCACAATAGAAATATAGGCCTGAGGGAAATTCTGTTGGTCAGTGTAGAGAGGGCAGGCCCACGGTAAGTGATCTTAGCATCGGTCGGATTTCTTCTCCAGTGCCAATTAGAGTGGACAGACGGCTAGACGGGATCCTTCACCCTTGTCCTTCATCCCGCTAGGTCGTCGACCTTGGCCAGGAAAGTATCACCAACCTCTGATAGAAACAAAGGTTTTTCCTAATATTTCTCCTCTCATACCTTTCCCTCTCAAAATACCATGCGGACTGTCAGGAACATGGGTCTGCTTCTTGCACATTCAATTTAGCCTAGAGTCGACCGCTCTGACATCATGATCGCATCAGATAGTCGCTTCTCAACCATCGGTTTCTCCTAACGCTTTCTTTCTCGCTTAAGAACGTCTCCTACAGTGTCCCTCAGTCATAGTCCCCTTGTCCATTGTGCCATTGGGTACGGACGACTTCCGCAATGATCGATCGGAGAGACCATCACTGGTGGATCCCCTCAGTGTGCCACTGGGGTTGTGACTGAAGGAAGTGGCAACAGTAGCCAGTCATGACAGCGAAAGTCCTACGGTCATACTTGGAAGTCGAAGAGTCATGGTTGAACCTCGAGGAAATTCGATTATCAGCACCGACGGTTTCCACGCCACACGCCCGTCCCTGAGTCTAGAAGACAAACACTGGTCAGAGCAACTCGGAGAAACGCACGGCTCTGGGAATCTTGTACTTTTAAGCGAAACGAGATGGGTGGGATCCAGAATTTGGCCAGGAGAATCCATCTTGCCAACAGGGATTGTTGATTCGTAGTGTGCTCATTCATGCGCGTTTGTTAGTCTGTTGACAATCATGCCTACCTGAGTGCGGCTCAACCGCCTCACGGAAAAGGGCATGGTCGCAGGGTTATTCCCGATCACGTCTTTCGTACCTCATCAAACGGCCCATACTGCGTACCGATCTCGGTAAGGTCACTTCGCTGGTCACTTCGCTTTTCGCTGCTCAATGCACTGCCGTCGTATCACCAAAATTCGAGCCTAAACGAGTCGATCCAGATTGACCCCCTGTCTCGGGCAGCACGAATATCTCATCCGTTGACCCCATTCTCCAGCCGGCAGTAATTCCTACACGTCCTGGATCGTGTTGTGCTGCACTGATTCCGCGATATCGCGCCTTCCACAATCTCGAATCCACGTTCGCGCGTATCCTGGTCGACCCTCGACTCTCGATTGTCAATTGATCCTGGCGTGTGCGCTATAAATCGTCAATGTCATGGCCGGAGAGAACAACCACCGAAAGAAGACTACCGATCAGTCCTGTGACTGCTTCACGCATATAACCGTCGCCGAGATAGATTGTCCTGTTTGATCGCTATAATCTACATCATAGTGATGGCAACTCGGTATCTCAGTATCTTCTGGCGCCCCTGCAGGCCTCCAAAAGGATCCCAAGCTCTGGCCCAGAGGGAAGCGGTTGATTCAGTGACAAGACCATCGTGGCAGACAGAAAATCGTGCTGGTTGCATCAAAAACGGACTGGGACACATGCACCTCGCGACGGACCGATTTCATATCTCTTCGTATTCGCACTGCTGCAGGTGGCTTCGATAGACAGCAACAAACGACATACCCTATCGCGATCGAGACCGATTTATAATAATGTTTCCATGAGGTGACGGTGGCCAGTCTATCCGCGCCTCATGTGTGCTTCATCACGATTGGGACTATTATGAGCATGACTTCCATAACGCTTGAGCTCCCCTATCGCTCGTCATGCATCTAACGCTGCCCGATAAATGTGTGGAAGGAGAGGTCAAGCGGAATTCGGATTTCGGGAATATCGCGCGGGCTAAAGAGGCATGATGTCCTAGGGTTTGCGTTGTCAGTATGGGCTAAGCCCTGGAATCAGTGAACGATTTCGCAAACCAACTGTGGTCATTCGCCCCAGGTAAACATCAAATCTTTTCCCTGGGACGATAGTAGCAACCAATCGCTTCATAGTCCTGAGAATTATTATCCAGGGCCGCGCTGGAAAGGTTCCGCTTCAGGCCCAGTGGATGAGAAGTCGCTGAGACGACATCTTCTGGCAGTCTGCTCGAAAATTTGGGCGATTCCCTCTTGAAGATTTCCCCAACTTCTACTCAAATTCGATTCGCGGACACCTTGCCATGCAACTCTGCGGAAGGTTTGTAATCGCTTGTCTGGATGGTACGCCAGCTAACTCGAGAAGTGCGTAACACTACACTCACCGGTTCACTCGTGGCCTTCGTCAATCGTCCGAGTAGGTCGAGATAAACCGTCAAACTGCGAGTGTAATCAGTTCCGGAGAAACGCCAATGTGATATACCCCATCCTCAAAAAAAGGTGCCGGCGAGCCCGCATTGGGCTATTTGGCACATGCGCATTCAACGCGCAAGAACTGTGTCGTAATGATCGCTTTTCTCCATGACAAGAGTTTCATTAATCAATCAGGAACAGAAGCGGTACCATAATTGACCAGATCATGAAGATCATCAGATAATGTGAACGAATTTGTGGCAAGCCATGGATCAGCAAGGTGGCAAAAAGGGCAGTGGGAGGAATCGAGTCTAAAATTTCCTCCCCCCGCCTAAATGTTCCTCGAGCTCATTCTTATTTTCTGTTTACTATTTCTAGCGTTCTGGATCCTTGGGGAGGCTTCTCGTCTTTGGTCAGATCACCTAGACTAGGGATACTCTTGTTGTGTACAATGACAGGTTGAGGTCTGATCCGAGCCGACTCCCGCCCGCCCTGTGGCGCAAAAAGGACCACGGCAATGAGCTCCAGCCTACCACGATCAATCTTTCAGCAGGCTTGGGCGTCTCAACCAAGAGTCCGAAGGGTCTGTCTCTTCTTGTTTGCTGGGAACCGATCATATTATTATTATTACGGCTCTGAGATCTCTTCTCCTTTGCCGTGACCAGCATATTTCCTAGCTCCACACCTGCTCTGGGCTAGCGCGTGTTCACAAACCACGTCGCCTGTTATTGAAGGTTGGGCGAAGGGGCGCTGTTCAAGTAGCCCTTCTCATCCTTGAGAATATGACGGACCCTAATCGTCCTCCTTTTTTCTCCTATGGATCCTATCCATCTTCATCAGATTTCCAGGAGAATGAGCCTGCATACAGTGACTGGACATCGTCTCAGTTCCCACAGGCACACTTTGGGCCTCAGATCAATTATGAACCGATCCCTAGCTATGTCGAGAACCCCGCAGGCCCCCGAGTCGGCACTGGGGAACGATCTGTG